GGGAAATGGGGAAAGGAAACATGCAATGATGTAAATAAACAATAAATTTTGTTGTTTGCCCTTTGTTGCATATTAGAAACAGATTTTACTTTGTTTCTCCTCTATTGTAGATAGAGAGGTCAAAGAAATCCTCCTCAGAACCATTAGTAAAGGAGAAAAGGTTTCTTCTCTTTTTTGTTTTTATTGTTTTTAATATTTAAAAATCAAAGCAAAGAAACGGAAATTCTCCCAGCATTCGTTAATCAATTTGCACGTGTAAGAGTTTAATAGTATGAGACTGACCTGGCACATTATGATAGGATGTGCATGAAAATGTACAGAAAATTCAAACTCTTTTCTTCAGCCATTAGATGCAGACCTGGCAATTGGGTTGGGTGGGTCGGGTTCGGGTTGGGTCAAGACACTTTGGGTTGATTTTGGGTCATGTTATCAAATGCTAGACCCTGACCCTAAATGTTCGGGTTAGGATTGACCCATGGGTCAATTTGGGTCATTCCAAAAAAATAACTGAAATTTAAAAAATTAAAGAAAAACTACATAAAAAATGCCAAAATTAAAGGAATTAACCTTAAAATTCCAAGTATAAAATAAAAAAAAACTTGAACGTATAACAATTTAAAGAGTAAACAATAAAGAGTAAAGACTAAATAAAAAAATTAAAGAGTGAAAACTTCTAATAATGCATATATAGTCCCAATTAGACTTGACAATCAGGTCAACGGATTGACCCATAACCCAACCCAATTTTTTGGATCTGGTCGAATCGAATCGAGCCATTCTCACATTCAAATAGCTATATATGAGACCCTAACTCTGTTTTTCGGATTGGGTCAACTTTTTGTCAGGTCTGGATGCATGACAACACCATTTTAATGAACCCTCTTTTCTTTTCTTTGTTTAGTTTTTTATTACGGCTTTCAAAGGTTAAAACTGTATACCCAAACAGACGAAATACTGATAGACGACACCAAGAAAACAACCCGGAGGACTTTAGGAAAGGGACAATTCTGTATATTTTGTCTGAATTAGCTAACCAAGAGAATGCAGTTACTACCTTCCTTGGCACCTTATCCTCTTGAGAGAAATTATCTAAAAAGAAAAAATCTAAAATTCAACTCTGTCCAACTCCAGACAGTCCAAATAGTTCTCCAGATAATCTTCCTCTTGCGCAAGCCACTACCAACCTCAGATTTGTCTTCTTGGGAGTCTCCGGCATGATGACAGATAGCAAGCAAGCAAAGGTGAAAGCGTATGTGTTAGAGCACTCGGTTACCCAGCATTTGAGATAAAAGAACAAATTCAGAAACTCGTATACTGTTGTAATCAAATACATTTATGTCTGCTTTTGTTTGTATTTATCCTGTACGCATACAACTTATTGTGTAAATACTATACAGGACATTGAAAATTCTTCTCTTTAAGTTCTTTCAGTATCAAATCCTTTTACGATAAGGTTCTTTCTTCTTAAGGCACTTGCTCAACACAGCAGTCCACACCATGGAGGCAATTTTTGATGGGACCCCAGGGATCCAAAAAGTAGTATTAAAAGGGAAATTTCTACTCTCCCTTCTAGTTCTAGCGCAAGATTTAACTAAAGAAATACGCTGTTTGGGTCATATTGAGATTTCCTGGGCATCTTTCATTGGAAGATTGTTTAGTCCCCTTGTTCGTCCCACCTTCATTTCATTTATATTGACAATTTCGGATTACAATACTTATGCAACATAGTGTCTAAAACAGATCATAACTGTCTGGGAATCGCTTAAACTATACTAAAGTGATAAGGAGTGCAAAGAAATGACCAACCCTGATGGAATCCGCGTTCTGTGCACTCACTGGATGATTGCACCCAGGAATCACATTCCAACACGTTGACCGGGGAAATAAGCACAACGTCAACAGTCAAAGGCCCGTTAACACAGGTTTGGCGGTTCAACCGGATTCAAACTGGCCACAATGTCCCTGCCGGTGGTTGTCCAAGTAGGCAAGGTTCAAAATATCGATACTTATTGTTCCGGGACCCCTCCGATACACCCTTATAGTGGGTGTATTGGGGGTCTGACCGGTTCAGGGGGTGGAGGAGCCCTAAACCGCCCCCACTCAATCGGTTTCAGAAAAAAAAAAAAAAAAACACAATTGATTCGCCCGATATACCCCTACCAACGTATTGGACATATCGATATTTTGAACCTTACAAGTAGGTGGTTGTCCAGGTGGGTGATTTCTATTGATACAAGAAGCCCCTTGTAAGAAGAAGAAGAAAAAGAGGCCAGAAACGCATCACCGGAGCTCTCATCGTTCCCGTTGGTGGTTGTATGGTCGGTGGTTGTTCAGGTGGGTGATTTTTGTTGACACAAGAAGCCCCTTGTAAGAAAAAGAAGAGAAGAAAAGGCCAGAACGTGCTGCCGGAGCTCTCACCATTGCCGCCGACAACCGCTGGTTCGAGTCATTCGCTGTGGTATGGTCACTGGTGTGTATGGGTTTGGCGGTTTGTGTCCAGTTGAACGGCCAAACCCATGTTAACGGGCCTTTGACTGTTAACGTTATACTTCCCCTGATGGACGTGTTGGAACATGATTCATGGGTGCACAAATCCAATGCACCCATGGGGTGCACAGAACACGGACTCTACGTGATGGAGCAGGACAGTCCAACCGGTAGAAATAGGCATCCCAAATTGACCCGATTAGGAAATCTTTTCTTTTATACATCATTGGTAGGTAAGTATAGTTTATATTAATAAGCAGCCCTTTATAATATCATATATAGGTAACTTTTTTCCCAAGTGATGGGAAAAAGAGAAGATATAGTGATGGGAAAAGAGAAGATAGGTATCAGCTGCAAGAATTCTTAACACACTACAGTTTGATGCACACCGTCTCGTCACCAAACACTCCAGAAGCTCTTAACTTAATCATATGTACAGTATAAATACATACTAAATAATACAGAAAACAAGGCTTTACACTTTACATATTTGTATTTATATTCCTTCCAAACCGAACCTTAATATTTATCATTCTTTAGGTATTCCTTAATATTTATTTTTCGGGACAAAAACAACTGTCATGTACAACAAAAATAACATGATTTTGCAAATGTAGCAATTTTTTTTCTTTTCTTTTGATAAATCAAAGCATGCAAATTGGCAAATATACAAATTTCTATCATGAATTTTAAAACCTCTTTTGGAACACTCAGGATCTAAAGCCTTTCCCTTACAAGTTTATTTTGTTTTAAAAGTCTGGTTCTGTAAAAGTAATTACCAGAATTAAAATATTTCCTCTCATCTGAAGTTTTCATGTGGCCTGCCTTACCTGAAGCCCAAATTTGAGGCCCACCAACTCGAATTGAAACATTTAAACCACACCCAAAATTTCTTTCCTTTCAAGCAGAGCAAATCTTTTTCTCATGGTTCATGCATCCTAATAGACATTATCATGTCAAGTGAGTTAGATCAAGATAAAATGAATGAAACTTAGTTTTACTTGACAGTTTTGCGGTTATGGTGTAAGATGTTATATGATGCTCAACATTTAAACAATTTAGTCCATGTACGACTTGAACTTACAAACAAGAGCTACCAGCACTTTAAATTATTATATTTCTTTCTATTTATATATTCTTGTGTACTAAGTTTTTTTTTCTTTTTTCCTTTTAGGACAAAAGGTGACAGCTAGGGGTACAAATGGATCGGATCTATTTGGTCGAATTCGGATCACCCCTGGTTGGATCTTCGGATTAGATTCTATGATCCAATCAAAAATCAGATTGGATTCAGATCAAATTAGATCCAAAGATCCGATCCGATCCATTTGCATCCCTAGTGGCACCTCACTTCTTTCAAGCATGCATTTCACCTTGCACCTTGTGTCTCACACACTAGGAACCCTTTGGCTTTGGTTCTACTTCTTGCTTTTAAAAAAACTAGAATAAATACAAAAAAAAAGAAATATGTAATGTACAAGCACCAACCAAGATAATATGCACAAAGTTTTCAAGGCGCCAAGGCAAGGTTAGGCAACCGAGGGGTGCCTTGTGCCTAGGGGATGAATTATTTTTAAGTAAAAACCACATATTCTAGGGTAGTTCCCTAAGTTTCATAACCATCTTTTTCTCAATAACTATCCATAATTTTCATAAGAAAATTATAAACTTCATGTTTAATTTCAGAAAATCAACATATTTATGAGAAGAAAAAGACTAAACAAAAGAAAATTAAAAAAATATAGGGACTGGACCCCTATTTTTGTTATAAGAAAAAAAGAAAAGAAAAGATGGAAGAAGATGTGGAAGAAGAAATGTGTTGATTAGACAAAATTTTAAATTCTTCTCTTGTTAGTTCATATTTTGAAGTCTTTGGGGCTTCAATACAGCAGTTAGCAATATTTGTGTTAGTTAAATCCTAACAAATAAGAAAACAATAAAAAGAAATTAGTTTATAAACACGAAAAATGAATATTTTTTGTTTAATAATGTCTATTTTATAATTATAGTCTAAAAAAAATAACAATATAAAAACATTTTATAAGACAGTATACAAAATTGCTTGGCTGGGCGATATGGTATTAAAACATAATCCTAAGCTGCAATTTTGGGTTAGAAGATGCAAAGCTAATTTTAACTCTCTCTCAGGTTTGTAGCATTTGACAGAGTACAGCTGCACCGTTCAACAGTATTAAAAAAAAAATGGCCAATCTTCAATTACCCCCATCCAACAAATTTTTATTACGTTGTACAGTTGAGAACAGTGACAATGAGGGGAATTGATGCCAATACAAAGGAGGGTGCAGTGTCATAAAGTGAGGATTTGAAACTTACAATTTGTTGTGACTGTACGGACAAACAAAAATTTGTGAGGTGGGCTTCATTGAAGATTTCCCTAAACAAAAATCATCCCACATAACAAAGAGTAGCAAATGCTTTGTCCAATGGATTATCCACATTTTTCCTGAGGATGCATACTCTTAATGCCCATGAGAATTTGAAAACAAGATATATAATGTGAAGAATAAACCATAAAAACCAATGGTAATGCCCATATGTACAGAGATCCTCAAGACCTACATTTGATTCCAAATGATATGGGTAGGTGTACAAGCAAACCAGACATCATGCGACATTTATTTAATAGAAAGATCCTACACTTGCAATCTGAAACATACATTCTTACTCAGAAAGGATGAAAATCACCAACATTATTGCTGTCACAAAAACAAAAAGAAAAAAAAAAGAAATGGACTCTCTCCAGAAACTGTATCTACATTTTGCACATCCTAGTGTTGGGGAAATATTTCAAAATCATTTCTGGCCTGAGAATCACCTGACAGGCGATGACCAGCTCTTTGGGTCCTCCTCCGCTCATAATCAGGATCGTCTGTAGGTAACTCGTACCTACAAACAGGGCAAGTATTACGAATGCTAAGCCATGGAATAATGCAGTCTCCATGGTAGTGGTGGGAGCACGGGAGCCGCTTTGCTTGTTCGCTTGTAGAAATCTCATCCTTGCAAACTGCACAAAGGACATTGTTGTTCTGCACATCGTCCTGAGTTAAAAAGATTGATGGAAGATTCTCAACAACAGTTTTTGCAGCAGGAGGACTACCCTTCAGAGAAGCTTCAGTTTCTGCAAATTGTCCAAAAATCATCTCATACTCTGCTGGATATATGTAAGCATCAGGATCAGCCAGGTAAGATTCCTCGTGTTCTAATTCTTGGTTCCTCTCCAAGTTGTTGGCCGTTAAAAGTACTTCCCACTCCAAATTCCTCATGGTTTCTTCCCTGTCTTCACCCGCTTCTTCTTCAGATCGAACTTCATGGATTTCAGTTGAAACTGATCTCTCTTCATCAGCATCTATCACCATACTTAGAACCTCTCTCGCATCAATGACTTCCTCCCACTCAAAATCTTCATTGGCGTCCCTCTGATCCTCCAGATGGAGACAATCCCAACAAAGAGGAAGACCCAGATCATCAGGAGCTCGATCCAACCCATCATCATCATCATCCCCAGATTGCAAATCAATCCCCAAGACTCCCACCTCTTCATCGCCAGAATCAGATTCAATGTTAACAAGCCGAGGACTGCTCTCCTCATATGGGTCCAAGGAACGGTAGTTCGAATCATCACCAGATTCAGAGACAGAAGGTCGTCTACCCACGAAGAAATCGTCCCCACGCTCCCGAATCATAAACCCACCGCTGTCATCATCCTCCCCAGCATGTCTATCAAGAGCCAACCCCAATCCTAACCCTAGGTCAAGAAAATTAGAGCCGATTTCATCATTCCCCTCAAAAACCCTAAAATTCGAGTCGTTTAGGGTTTCCGAAAACGGGTTATCCACCCTATCATTATTACCAACAATATGAGATTGTTCCGCACGGCGTTCAAACAAATCCATAACGAAGCTTACCCGATCTTCATGGTTGAAGTAACTCACATCGGCGACGGAATCGGAATCAGAGCTGTCTCCATCGCCAATATGACCGCAGGCCTCCCGCTCGTCGATGTCATCCCCATCGAAGAAAACCTGAGCATGAACAGACGGATCTGAAGGAACGAATTCGGAGAGGCGGGGAGAGAAAGGGTCGGAATCAGAGACGTAGATGTCGTCATGATCCAAGTCGTTGGACCAGTAAGGAACAGAGTCTAGATCTTCAATATCTTCTACTCCTTCCTCGTCATCTTCTACAGAGAGGTGGAGATCCGAAACCTCCGCCATGGACGAACAAAATTGAAAAGCTCAGAGAATTTCTTTTTAAATTTTTTTTTCCTGTTTCGCTCCTTGGAAGGTTTTAAAGAGAAGTTAAGACCAGAAAAATTACATATATACCCTTGCTTCTTTACGCGTTATTCAACAGTCTTTTTTTGCACCTGCGACTCGGCGAGCTGCGGATTGCCCTCTATGGTTTGCGACCTCTCGGATTTTTTGGTTGTTAATTTTGATTTATTCTATTTTCTACATTTTCCATTGTTTACTAAAATGCCATTTGGATGGAATCTCAATTCTGTGCACAATCCGAATTTGACAAGAATTTCAGTGTTTGATTCAGCTCAGATTCTACGAATAGATTCTAAAATCAATTCGAATCCATTTACTTTTTTTTTTATAAGAAAAAACAAACATATCATACAAGTGGCAGTAGAAAAGTGAAAATTCCAATTCACTTTTGCTTTGGGTTTTGCTTATAGAAGTAAAACAAATTTAAGTCAAGTCAGAATTTGCATTCTGTTCATTTGCAAATCAAATTACAATGCAAACAAAACAAATTTAGCCTTAAAGCTCAGTTTGGAAAGAGTACAAATATAAATATGTACAGGGCAAATATATAAAAAATAATCCAAAGATTTTATTTTCATTTACAAATTATAAGTGTCTGTCTGCCTTGCTTCTTTGTTCTGACTAGTTCTATTAAATATAATGTTAAATTTAGATGGATTCTGCTTTTGACATCTAAAAAAGAAAATACAAACAACAAAAGAAAGCAAATATATCAGCTTGTGGAAAGACAATTAAAATCTCATAGGACAAATTTATGAAAAGAGTCAATTATTATATAAATAAATAAGATGGTATTTAATGTATTATTTATTTAAAAGAAAATTACTGAAAAAAAATCAACAAATATACTATTGAATTGGTTGGGCAAAAGTAAGAGGGTATTCTACAACATGAATGTTTTTTATTTTTTGTATGATTTATGAAAAATGGTGAAACATATTGTATGTTTTAAAATAAAACTTTTTTTAAACTATAAATCGAAGAATATAATTTTTTGTTTCAGTTTTAGAAACAAAAAGCATATTTACAACCAAGAACATGTTCTCTAGGATTTTTTGAAGAAACTATTTGTTTCCAATCGACACTGTTTTAATTTGTTTTTAAGGGTGCGTATTAGATTATAATACGGAAAAAACAACTGAATAATAAAGTGAAATTTTGATTGGTCAAAACTGTTTCCATAATAGAGAGAGAGAAAGAGAAAGGCCTGATTCGTAATTAGTCAGGGCGGTGGATTCGGGCTAACTACGGATCCAGCGAAGACTTTAAAGTCTTAAGGAGTAATGATGCATAACACCTAGTAGGAAGGTTGATGAGAATAAGGAGTCTGGAGCTAACTATGTGCTAAGGCCCAAGTCCAAGTGTTGCTATTCTAATTTTTAATGGGTAGTGTATTTTAGGTAGGAAGGGGGCCATTTTATATTCCCAAAATTCTGACTAATCCATAGAATTCTGATCATTGGCTCCATCTTCTACCAATCTCACTGCTCACTAGTGTATTTTAGGTAGCATGGTCTCTAACTTGACACGTGTACACATTTGGATGAGTATGACAAGTTGGTCACAAACTACTTGCTTCCTTGATGGGATTTCATTTTTCTTTATTCCATTATAAAAAATGGGCAAAAAAAAATAGTTTGGAACAATAAGGCCAATAAAAAGAGGTTTCAGACATGAATGCGAAATAATGCATACAGACGCTATCTTAACAAGAATCCTTTTAATGGTGGGAAGTGGGAACCAATCATCTGACCAGACATGTGGCAAGTTTTTTGAGGAAAACATTACAAATAATCTTTCAATAGTTCAGGTAATAAGAAATTTGGGGAAGGGAGCATAGTTTTTGTTCCGGTGAGATTACAAGTCCTCCTGGGCCTGCCACATGTGTTACATTATTAGCTTATTACCGTAAGATGAACGACACAGATCGTGTACTGGTAGTGGGTAAACCAACGAAAAAGCCTCCTACAATGAGCAATCACATGGTGAAGCCTACAAAGGAACCAACAAACTCTGATTCAACAGGAACAGGAGAGAACACATCTTTTGCCCATCTCCTTCCAAGTGGATCGCTGAGAGACCCAATTCTACTGCAAATTTGATGCCCTCAAGATAGCCAAGAACTTTAGACATGTGGCAATATGCAGCAGCAGCCTGCAACCTCCCTTAAAAAATTTTGACATCCGAATTCAATTACATCTCCAATGGATATTGAAAACCAATGTCCGATTTCCGATTCGATTAAATATTCGAATATTCGATTTCATTTGAATTTTTCTGGTTAATTATTTTAGATAATTAATAAATAAATATTGTATTTATATAAATTATATATAGATATATAAATTAGTTATATAATTTAATTATTATACATAATATAATATTATATATAAGATTAAATAATCAGTTGAATTCGGATATTTATAAAATCAAATCAGGTCATATCCAAATTCGATTCGATTAAGTCAAATCTCGAATTCAAAATTGAATTTTTAAATAACGTTAATGCCCCTAATTTCTAGGCATACAATTTTATTTTCCTGCATCCCATATAAATTCACAAGATTGACGCCACATGTGTCCCACAAATTGTAAGTACTAAGTAGAGATTGGTCCCATACGATATACAAGGTTTTGCACTATATATATTTGAGAATGGTGTAAATGCAAATATTCACAATGTAAAACCTTGTATAAGATAGTTCTAAACTTTGTAGTTGCACTCTTCCCAAACCAAATCTTATATATTTATCATTTTTTTCTTACAAAAAATGAATTGAACACACTTTTCCCATTAAAAACAAAGAGTAAGAAAAAGAAAAGCATTGAGTCACATCAGGATGACAACACAACAAGAGATGATAGCCACGTACTATGACTCCAAATTTTGAAGGAGAAATTCAAGACAGGAAACCTCGTCATTCACAAAGTCATAGTGCCCAAGCCAAGAGAAGAAAAAGCTCGAACCTAACTAGGAGGGACCGTACAGAGTGACCAGAGCCCTCGGCCTAAGCACATACAAACTAGAAGACCTTGATGGGAAGTCAATGCCGAGGAGCTCGAACACCGGGAATCTACGGATTTACTACCAATGATTAGAGACGAGCACCAATTGTACACAATTCAAGAAATATTGTTTTATTTTTACGTTCAGTAGACAAATATGCACCACACACACCTGCCCAGCCAAAAACGGCTAGGGATTTTGAAACACGTCACCACACACACTAGCTCACACATGTCGGATATGTTGAAAAGATCTAGAGCGACTGACAATCCTTGCCAAACTAAAGCGGAAAAGACCTAAAGCCCAACAAGCCCCATCGGGTGTTGTAGGAATGACATCCCTACCACAACAACAAGAGGGCGGGCATCAAACTCCGCACACCAAGCCGACTAATGGTCGGAGCAGAGCCAACCAAGGATCATGGCTAGCCCACTCAAAGAGTGTAAGGCTCTCCAAGACCAAGTGCCACCGAGTTCCCCGTCACCGTTGAGAGCTCAAAAGCACCCCGACCAGCATAAAGACCGAGGCCACGAAGTTGAAGACCCTGGCCATCTAACGTAAAGCCCAAAACTTCGGTCAACATAAGATCGAGGCTGTGAAGTCGAAGATGTTGGCATGGCCTATGGACCCTACAAACCTACCTAACTCAGAAGTAAAACAACATAACAAAACGAAGGAAAAAATGAAACAGAACATGCTCAGCAAAAAGACCGAACTTCCATTAATAAAAGGATATATACAGTTAGGGGTCCTCATGATTTGGTTAATCGAACCGTGGGGCATTTTTTGGAACTGAACTTGTACTACCGGTTTTTGGAAAATTGGTAACCGGAGCCGAACTGAAGCCAGTCGGTTAACTAGTTGACCAGTTCAATTAACTGGCAATTTTTCGGTTTTTTAGTTTTTACAATATATATTATAAAATATATATATAAATATATAATAAAAAATTATAAATATATATAAAATATCATTTTTAAATAAAAAATAATATATTATAAATATATATTTATATATAATGCATATTTATTAATTTATAATATATAAAATATAAAATATATACAGTATATATAATATACAAAAATATATGTATACTGGTCGGTTCGGTTAACCGCCAATTTTCTATATTGGTTAACCAAAACCGAACCAATTGGTTCAAAACCGATTTTTCGGTTTGGTTTTGGTCAGTTCGGTTTTTTGATTTTTTTTTTTTTTTTGCTCACCCCTAGATACAATGACTATAAGCTCAGCATACCGAGTTGTGTACAACAAAAGAAGGAAAAAAGAAAATCAATATAGGCTGATCGTGCTCTCAGCAAGGTTTACCTCCTCGGGATGGCCACACTCTAGTATGGGGCAGACTGCTCGACTAGCAACGCCTCGGCATCAAAGAGCCCATACGGCTCCACGACCACAGCAATTTCAGGGTGCTCGCTCATGACCCTCCTCTTGTAGCGAGCAAAGATGATCTGCCATGAGTCCATAGCAAAACCATCATAGGCAATCTATAACTCCTCAAACTCCTTGTACCAAGCGACCAAATAAACCGAAGAACATAGATGATAGTACAGAAATATTACCGCAATGGACTCCTAGATGGCCGCGCTCTCCATCACCCTACTCGTGCAGTCACTGGTCTCTTTACGAATGTCGGGTAGTAGAATGCCCCTAGCCAACTGATCGGGCACGCCCTCAATCTCCAAAGTGTCCTCTGGCCAAACACTCCAGCTCAGCTTGTATACCTCGGTCACCGGATCCACCAAACCCAGAGATGGGACCTCAAGACCTCTCTGTGGCACGTACCGTGATGGAGACCCATCGGAACCGATGTCCACCATGTCTCTCTCAACTGGCAACGATCTCTAGTTCGGCCGAGGGTTCACGGCCTCAGGACGGTGCTGCTATGGAGCTGCCCCAGTCTAGGTTGCCGCCCTCCTCTGTGCGGCAGCTTGCATTCATCATGTTCTCTCCTCCTCATCAATGACTAC